GCTCCCACCTACGGTGGGGTAAGGAGGTGTCGGATGTACGCAATCTTACCCCTACACTAAAACACAGAGAGAGATTATTAGTTTAATAATAAACTATAAAACCATTAATTTATTATTTATTATATGATATATAATGAAGTGCTGAACTGGTGAATGGTGATATACTGATATGCTTGTATTAGTTTAATAATAAACTATTAAACCATTAATATATTATATATTATACATAATATATAATTATATACTACGTATATAAATGTATAATTATATACTACGTATATAAATGTATAATTATATATATACTACGTATATAAATGTATAATTACATACTACGTATATAAATGTATAATTACATACTACGTATATAAATATATTATTATATACATATACAATATTATACATATATAGGCGACTAGTCGCCTAATTGTATCGCCTAGGCGATATGGCGGTAGGCTGGCGCCTCGACTCGACTTACTGCCGTGACAAGTACGTGTCACAGTTACCAACACTCGATCGCAGTGACCACCACCCCGGTGCCATAGTGACCAATTTTTAGTCATTGACTACTGACAACCTAGTGACAGACTGACAGTTACCGTGCAGGCACCAGACACAGTGACAATTATTTCGGTAACATAGTGTCCTATTTTTCCTGTGAGCCACTTGCGACCCGTCATTGGCAACCCTGCGCCGTCCACCGATGACCCCCTTCCGAGAAGGCCTACAATCTGTAACCCCATCAGACCACTGCCCCAACCCCCCTGCAACAATATTTGCCTGGGCAATGCCCCTGGCACCCTCCAACCACCGCCATCGCCTCTTCCCTACCCAGCCCCTTGCCCTCAACCCCTGGTCCCACCACTGCCCATCATTATCCCAATCCGTAGCCCACTTTCCCTGCACCCCCTGCGCGCCAAGGTTGTTAAAATCGAGATCCTAGCTCGGATCGGAGAGGATCTAGGTGATCGTAACTCGATATCGTAACTCGAATCGTAAGATCCTAGAAACAAAACTATCATGCATATATATATGAATCTCGTTCCGGTCCAGCCGGCCTGACGGGAACCTCCGTCCGGCCGAGGACATTTCGGGACATTTCCGGTGGAGTTTTTTGATGATTTTTTTTAGCATGTTATTCATCAAATCTAGTTTATCCTTACCAAATTTCAGCTAAAAATTCAACCGGGAAGGCAGTCAAACGTGTAATTGAAAAAGATTGCGCTGTTTATATATATATATATATAGATTTTGGTTCAGGTGAGAAATGCATCTAATGTGAGAAATGAGAATGAATCTCAGCCATTGGATTTACGAAGTTGCACTAAAATTGGCTTTATGTTGCAGTAATATTTAAATTTTGCACATGTTGCACTAAAACTTTTTCATGTTGCACTAATATTTGACGGCGTTGCACCGAAATAGCTTCATGTTGCACTAGACACGTGTAATACGGATTTTTCAGAAGTATTTACAGAAATGCCACCGTGCTAGATTGCATATTTCAGTGCATCATGAAGTGTCTTTTACTGCAACTTAGTCGAATCCAATGGCTGAGATTCATTCTCATTTCTCACCCAAAGGGTTCTTCTCACTTGAACCTTACCCTATATATATATATATATATATATATATTTTAAGTATGTTCTTTAATTTACCCATACCAAATTTCAGCTAAAATTCAATTGGAAAGGCAGTCAAATGATTTTTTGAAGATAACTTCGCTTTATATATATATATATATATATATATATATATATATATATATATATATATATATATATATAAAGCGAAGTTATCTTCAAAAAATCATTTGACTGCCTTTCCAATTGAATTTTAGCTGAAATTTGGTATGGGTAAATTAAAGAACATACTTAAAAAATTCCATCAAAAAATTCCAAAAGAAAGGTCTCGAAATGTCCTCGGCCGGACGGCAGTTCCCGTCAGGCCGGCTGGACATGAATTGTCCTCTATATATATTTAAACTTAAAAATTTTCAAACATTAATCATAATGTCTTTTTTCGATGGTATAAAATAATCCGTCAACCGGGAAGGCAGTCAAACGTGTAATTGAAAAAGATTGCAAAAAAAAATTCAACCGGGAAGGCAGTCAAACGTGTAATTGAAAAAGATTGCGCTGTTTATATATATATATATATATATATATATATATATAATCTTCCGGTCAGGTATACCTGACCGGAGCCGCCGTCCGGCCTCCTCCTTTTGGGGGCCTTCCCGGTGGTATTTTTTGCTCAGATTTTTTGTGTATGTTCCTCATCAAGTCTAGTTTATCCATACCAAATTTCAGAAATAATTTCAATCGGGAAGGTCGTCAAATGATTTTTGCAAGTTAACTGGTCCGGAAAATACATATACCGGACCAGTTAACTTGGAAAAATCATTTAACGACCTTCCCGACTGAATTTTTTGCTGAAATTTGGTATGGATGAACTAGACTTGATGAGGAACATACACAAAAAATTTGAGCAAAAAATACCACCGGGAAGGCCCCCAAAAGGAGGAGGCCGGACGGCGGTTCCTGTCAGGTATACCTGACAGGAACATTTGTGTGTGTATATATATATATATATATATATATTTATAAACAGATTGCGCTGTTTATATATATATATATAAACAGATTGCGCTGTTTATATATATATATATATATATATATATATATATATATATATATATAATTCCAAAAATTCCACATAAACGTGGAATTTTTTGTAATTAAAAAATTCCAAAAATTCAACCGGGAAGGCAGTCAAACGTGTAATTGAAAAAGATTGCGCTGTTTATATGTATATATATATATATATATATATATATATATATATATATAAAGCGAAGTTATCTTCAAAAAATCATTTGACTGCCTTTCCAATTGAATTTTAGCTGAAATTTGGTATGGGTAAATTAAAGAACATACTTAAAAAATTCCATCAAAAAATTCCAAAAGAAAGGTCTCGAAATGTCCTTAGCTGGACGGCAGTTCCCGTCAGGCCGGCTGGACATGAATTGTCCTCTATATATATTTAAACTTAAAAATTTTCAAACATTAATCATAAGGTCTTTTTTCGATGGTATAAAATAATCCGTAAAACACAATATAAATATGGAAAAAGGATTAAGAATATCAGCTTGTAAATAAAATTCTTAGGTCTTAGAAGATGTTATGGAGGAAGGACAAAAACGTCTTCTGAGGAGAAGAACAAAGCAAGTGTCGCAGAATAGGACTGTAGAAGGCGACACTGAAGAAGGTGTCGCTCTGGTCATTTCTCAGGTGCGATGGTGTCGCCTTGGGGAGTTGGGTCTTTGCAGGTCACTATTTTTTTTAAACTTGAGTTGTTTCTCTTAGTGAGCGTCGTTTCCGATTTCCAACATGAGCGTCATTCCAGAATTTCGACCGTGAGCGTCGTATTCCTTCCCTACAGACATGAACGACACAGATCGAAGGAGATCGACGATTCCGTGATCTAATGAGTTCACTCGTCGATCCGGCGATCTAACTCGACCATGTACCCATAACACGTAAGATCGTACGAGTTAACGAGTTAACTCGCGATCTTGAAAACCTTACTGCGCGCATATACAGCTTCCCCTCCACACCCTAGCTTCCGTCGTTGTCGCCAACGTTTAGCCGGCCGTTGCCAGTAAACCTAACAGGCAAATCGACCGCGACAACAGCTTGGAGAACAGCATCATCACTCTGCTGAAGAAGACGACCGATGTTGGACAGATGCTCCACATCGAGTGGTGACTGTCCAGATCTGATCTTCAACAATGATGGTCTGCCGGAAAAGAAAGGAGAAGAAAAAGACGTGAGACGACCGATGCGGCGAGTGGCTCAGGCGTGGAGGTAGGTGACGATGGAGGCGGCGAGTGGCTTGAGACGGCAGAGGTGTCGAGCTGCGTGAGAGACGGAGGCGGTGAGCGACGTGAGACAACAAAGGCGGCGAGTGGATCAGGGTGATGGGCCGATGTTCACGTGAGAGGCTGCTTTCCGCTTGAGGGGATGAAATGTGATGTTTTCGTTAGACGGTGAGAGCTGAGGGATGAAATGGGTAAGGGGTATTTCGGAATATTCATACTTACGTAGGTTAGTTTCTTGTCCATTTAAAAAACCTACTTCTATTTCCGTTCATAACAATCTCATGAGTATTATTTCCATCATTCTTTATTTTATTTATGCTAATATATTTATTTGACTATTTACATACAATGTTAACACCTGACTAAAAGTGCTCGAATTATATCCATAAGCTGATGATGACATCTTAGACTCAAAACTCGCACTTCAAAAGCCATTTATTCTAGTGTTTGATCTCCATATTTAGATCACCAATCCACTATAATAAATATAAAATTAAATTTTTAAGTCATGGTAAAATCAATTTGAGTTATGAGATTAGTGTGTAAACTTTTCATACCACGACTACACTTGTTGACCGTGCTTTTCGCCACATCATGAAAAAAAAACCATTCTCAAGCGAAAATCATCCATTTGTAGATGCATTCTCTTGAACTTCACAGTCTGGGATCATTTTGGCCATGTAGTTGAATAAATCAATTTTAATCTCTGAATGAGAGGACATATTGAGATCATATTGGTAGTGTGGATTTAGGTAATATGCTGCATGTAAATCGTGATGCATTTGAAACTCCCACCTCTCATCTATTATGTCCCAAATCTATTATGTCTTACACAATAGTCAAAGAATTAAAAATGGAAAAAAATAAAAGTCGAGTACTAAAAGTTTCACTAACACAAAAGTTGAAGGACTAAATGTGACAAAAACTCTTCACAAAATATGGAAATGGAAAGGTGCAGATATCAAAATGCCAAGTTCGTTAAGATTAATAAAATAGACACACACATATATAGAAAGGGGTTCAATTTCCCCATTCAGAATACATGACTGAGCCCATGTTCTCTTGGTATAGAGTATTTGTCAATGTTTTTCACCTGAGAAAATATGGTATTCTTGATCAGGCCGAAGCACTTGATTTGGGTAAGACAGTAATAGAAACTATATCTGAAGCTGCTGAGGACTGGAGACTAGATGATATTAAAGGACTTCTTGGCCGTTGTAACTTTAAAGCTGACATGCTTGATAGGAAGGTTTCGGTTTTGAGTGGTGGTGAGAAGGTAAAGACATGGAACTTTGGATAAGAATTTTTCGGGTTTTCAGCCCCTTTTTGGAATTTCATTTTTGTATGCCTACATACTACATACATAATTAAAGTTATAAATGACGTCACTTAAATTCTTTTTGGGGGAGTGTACCACGAAATAAATATAGTATGTATGTAACAACAGATCTTCTTTTTGGTTGTTTATTTATTAGGCGCGCCTTGCCTTTTGCAAATTCATGGTGATACCATCCACTTTTCTAGTACTGGATGAGCCGACCAATCATCTAGATATTTCATCGAAAGAGATGCTTGAAGTATGGTTTCCTTTTCAGCGCAAACATTAACATTTTACATTATATCCCATGATAAAAATGGTTTAATATTTTTATCTTTTCGTACCTTTCACCCTCGAATAGCCATTATTTGTAATTCCCTCTTCTGTAGGAGGCGATTACTGAATACCAGGGTACTGTCATTACCGTGTCACATGATCGATATTTCATAAAGCAAATTGTTAACAGAGTTTTGGAAGTAAAAGATGGGGCTTTGCAGGACTATGATGGGGATTATGAAGTAAGTCTTGCTTATACATATGTGATCTGATCACTCTTGCACTTGCGTTGCGTTATTGTTATTACTATCCTGTTGTGTTTTCAAAACATGCCAATTGAAAACATTGTTCTGTTCAAGGTAGAACACATAGGTTCTGTACTTCTGTCAATGCTTTTTATTAACCAGACGCTCGATTTTGACTACCTTAGTTCTGTCAAAATAGGTACGATATTTGAAGTAAGTTGTTAAGATCACCTGTTATCATTAGCTGATTGAAGTAATATTATTAGTCATTTCGATGTAAACGATAAGTTGCTAAAAGGTAAAATGACCAAGGGAATTTTCCTTAAATGTTACTATATTAAATTTGACTTCCAAAAAAGCGACTAATTTTATATATGGATAATAATGTGACATACCAAGGTAGTAAATTTGGAAAATATGACGTCACTGCCGCTGTCTGGCAATGTCACTATTGCCGCCACAGGTGTCCATAGTTGTTACAGCGTCGCCTAGTCGGTGACTAAGCGTCCAAGCGTTAGAGAGTGGTCGCCATGGGTCATCGCCTCACCTGAAGAAGATAAGGCAACAAAGGCGTTTTCCAGGTGAGCTCAAGGCGTCCATGGCGCCGTCCAGTTGTCTCACCAGATTCGATTTAAAAAACTCAGCCCCTAAAAGTTAGATTTGGAAAGTATAAAATTAGAAACGCAGACCAAGGAACATAGACGATGCAATATTATCTCACAATTCTTCTAAGGTAGACGACGACCTCTTTCATGGCAACTCCTTCTGTCGACTGTCGTAAGTAGGAAGTTAAACGATAATTTTTTTTCAAGGCGGCTCCTTTGTTCTGAATCAGTATCGAACTATTGATATGTACGTATTTGAAGTATTATTGTTTGGAACTTTACACTTAGTGTTTAATTAAGTAAAAAAAAGAAAAAAATAATAAAAAATAGCCGCTACACTGGGAAAATGACCTGTTATAAGCAAAAAGGTTACATTGCAAAAACAGAAGAACAATATTTAACTACACCAAAGCAAAAACACAAAGGATGATAGAGGATTACAGGGTTATAAATTAATTTGAAACTGTCAAAAAGGGGATGTTTTGCAATTATTAGATATTGAATACTCCCTTCTCCGTCCCAAAAAATTGGCCAAATTGAGTTTTTATGGTCAATGGCGGTCAAGTTTGACCAATGATACTTTTTAATACAAAATTATTTAAAATATAGAAATTATCTGAGTATAAATTTATAAATTACACACAAATATAATACGTAAAATCATTATCTAAATTTTAACACTATTGCGAATTGGCCAATCTTTTTGGGACGGAGAGAGTATGATTCATAAATAATAGTCCTAGAAAGACTTAGATAGAAAATAGAGTCCTATATCTAATAAAATAAAACGGTTAAGTCATAAATTAATTTAGGTATAACAACAACAACATCCAAGCCTTAATCTCAAAAGGTTTTTGGGGAAGAAGAGCCCAACGGGAAACGAATCTGGGTGAGCTAGTTAAAGTCCCAACTTTAACACCACTCCGCCAATAAATTAATTTAGGTATGTAAGACTAAAATCGGTTAAAATAGAGTCCTGTAGTAATTATTTAATACAATGAAGTAGTACAATTTCCATCATTTGCAATGGAGCCAAAGACTCATTATTTTTTGGCTTGGGAATATGATGGAATAAAGCAAAATGACTCACTAAATTGTCCGCGCTTCATTGTTATGAAGCAGTAGTTAGTCCATGCAATTTTTGAAGTGAATTTCACTATGGGTTATCCAGAAACAGTCTCTGTTGCGGTGGTCACTGTCTGCAATTTCACTTTCTGGATCGTGATTTTGACCATGGTTGTGTCACTGGATGCAATTGAAAATTAGGTCACTGAACTGTTGCGGTGGTCACTGTTTGGCAGTGGTCAATGGAGCAGGCGGTGGTCAATTGCTGGTGGCGTCACTGGCGGGTTATTGATCACTATCACATGGTGTAAGTGTGTGTATAAAAGTCATATATGTAACTTTTTGGAAAGTTTTCAAACTAGTCATATTTTTCCATAACTTATGTTTTAGTAATATTGCTTCCAAAACCCGAAAATGAAATGTAGCAAATAAAAGATTGAGGGAGTATTTCATTTGTTTATAATATGATGCGATAGTTTGACTTTCACTTCACAACGCTTGATTTTGATTGTTAATATATTCAATCAGATTTAATAAAAATTGTATATAATCACAATTTAAAAATTTACATGGAGACAAATTTAACAATAGTTTTCACAATATTATTTATTAGTACTTTAATCAATTTAATAATATCATAGCAGAGTATATGAATAGTCCAAAAGTCAAATTGTTGCAACTAATAAAGAACGAAGGTGTGTTATATAACTTTTTTTTTCACTGGATTTTGTATAAAAAGTAGTGACAATATCCATCTTAGTTTTAACTTTTAAAAGGCGCAAGGCATGCCGAGGTGTTTTAGGTATATTTAGCCGAAGCGTGAGACACGAAGCGGAGACGTGTGCCTCGCGGAACATAGTGCACATCTTCCTTAAGGAAAACTAAACTACTTGTGCATGATATATTATACTCAAGCACAATAATGTATTTACATTATCATCAAACAGATAAGCACATAATAGAAACACCATAAGCACCAAATTTAAGTATCAAAATCTCACGCTGAAATGGTCAAACAATCACAGTAGAAACAAAATAAGCAACTTAAGATTTAGAAGTTTACAACCTAAATAAAAGCAAAGTAACAAATTACGTAATGAAAGTTAAAAATAATTATATTATAAGTATATAAAAAGGCCCAAAAATAGTAGACTGTTGGTGTTTCCCGCGGGTGTGCAGAACACATGGAGAAAGGCGTTAAAAGTTTCAGTAGTATGTAAGACAAGGACAGCCAGCACGGCCCCATGGGACAATAGAAAGAGAAGAATAAGGGGAAGAAGAATACCCACGTAGCACTGTAGATATGTGCTGCTGTGATATTGTTAAGGGGAGGAATAGAAGAATAATCAAATTGCCGATAAGTTGGAGAGTCGTTTCTGGTTTGTCGGCAGTGCATGCTCAGTAATGACATTTAATTAATAGATAATAGGTTCAAACCCATGACTTTGAAGAGGAAAAGTTTAAACCTACGGCCACAAAGCGGCAGATGCAAGAGTCTCATTATGCGCGTGAAGGCGGCTTTATGCAAGGACCTTCTAGAATCTGCTACGCCCTTAGTTGGTGATGCAGAATTCCTGGCGCATCCGTGCACCCACTTTTTCACATTATGATATCCATACCAATATTTTTATATTATTATTATACATTCCATAGTTATTACTCCCTCCGTCCCCTTTTAAATGGGACGGGAGATGGTGGCACGGGTTTTAAGAAAAGTGAGTTTGTGTGGTTGATATTAATTGATAAAGTAAGAATAAAGTAAGAATGATTTTGAGCCACACAAAGTTTACCAAATAAGATATGGGGCAATTAAATAGGGACATCCCAATATGGTAAAACGGGACATTTAAAAGGGGACGGAGGGAGTAGCATTTATTATTCCTATTTGTTTAATAATTATATAAAAAAGCCTATATGAAAAAGCAACTCAAAGCATCATTTTCTTTTTTGGCTGTTTAGCATCAAAAAGTCAAATCAAAAGGTCATTTACGAAACAATAGAAACAGGTGTTTCACTTTGTCAAATAGCCAAAGTAATTTAAAAAGCTCAAAAACGGCTGACAGGATGCTAACCAAACACCCCCATGATGTAGAGTGTTCTGAAAACCATTTGTTTGAATATGTTTTTTTTGTTCAAGACAATGAAAGAACAAAAAACGAGTTCGTAAGAAGTCACTTTGAAATTTGAACCATACATACCACAATTGATAGAATGGAGATGAAAATGGGAGAAGCATTGAAGATTTTGCGCAATAGCTTTTTGTGTTTAACAACTGTTGGTATGGAGAGGACAACGTCTCCAAGAAAAGGAAACTATTTAGTTTTCAATGATCCATTATTACATCCAGAGTTTATATCAAAGGGAATTACTAACCAAGTTAGAATATAGAGAAATAACAGTGGGTTGTGTTCACCAACAATTAAACTGAAAACTTTTTCAAAAGAAAAACAATTAAACTGAAAACAAGGAAATATGGTGTAAGCGGTTAAGTCCCACTAAATGCATTCCTAACTGAATGTGCTGCCATTAGTTTGGTCTCCCCTCCTCTTCCTAAAATAGGGTTGTAAAGGCTTACTATCAAAATGCTCTCAAGATGCTTCACCAAACACACCCTCGGTATAGTGCGTAGTATTGTTTCATACTTAGATCTACTGTTTCTCCTAATGAATGTGCATTTGATTATTTGACAGTACTATTTAGAGAAGAACTTGGAGGCCAGGGAAAAGCAATTAGAGAGGGAGGCAGAGCTGGATGAGAAGTCCCCCAAAGCTAAATCCAAGACCAAAATGTCAAAGGTAATACTGCCCTGTGCCCTTCTGTTGTGGATGGAAAGAAATGATATTTCCTTAGGGTCCATTTGGGACCTGGAAAGTACTAGGGCCAAATTACCAGATTGGTAAAAAAACAAGGTTACCAAATTGGTAAAAAAAATCCTCCTGAGACAAATTGGTATAAAAAAAAGAAGCCCAGATGACAGATTGGTCAATTTTTTGTGAGCGAGATATTTTTTGTCCTCAACTTTAGAATTTCCGATATTTCATATTCTAAGTAATGTGAAATTGACATTTTCAATCCTTCAACTTTGATTTTGTCATGAAATGTACATGACTAAAAACTCTACCGCATTTAAAAAATCTACTAAAAAATTCTACCCCATATGAAAATTCATTTTTATATGGAATATTTTTGCTATTTTTATATGCAGTAGAATTTTCTAAAAAATTTATAGAATATTCATATTTAAAATATTAATACTAAAAGTAAATAAATTTATATGTGTGTGCTCGACTAACTAATTTAAAAAAACTTATAGAATAGTCATATTTAAAATAAATACTACTGCAGTTCTCAACTTTAGAATTTCCGATATTTCATAATAGCAGTTGTCTGTTAGCTAAAATTCTGTTGAATCAGCAAATTAATATTAGCACATTCTGTTAATTTTTTAACTAACCTCTTTCATTATTGATTTGAAACAAAATGTTAGTAACTTAACTGTTTACGATTAACGTGTTAGTAACTTAACTGTTTACGATTAACGATTAAGACGTAAAATGACCATTAAAAATATGAATTTATTAGTATATAACTTAACTTTATTTTTTTATTTTTAATAAGTCTTGAAAAATGTTATAAAAATTATATTTACGTATATTTTAAATAACTACTACCACTATCATTTTTAAAATATGTACATTAACGCGAGCACACACGTATGAAATTGGTTACTCGAGCACACACGCATATATTTATTTATTTTTAGTATTAATATTTTGAATATGACTATTCTATATATTTTTTAAAAATTCTGTTGCATATAAAATAGAAAGAATTTTTGAGTAGATTGCTTAGTTCTGTACTTTTCATGACAAAATCAAAGTTTAAGGATTGAAAATGTCAATTTCACAATACTTAACTGTCTACGATTAACGATTAAGACGTAAAATGACCATAAAAATATGAATTTATTAGTATATAACTTAACTTTATTTTTTTATTTTTAATAAGTCTTGAAAAATGTTATAAAAATTATATTTACGTATATTTTAAATAACTACTACCACTATCATTTTTAAAATATGTACATTAACGCGAGCACACACGTATGAAATTGGTTAGTCGAGCACACACACATACATTTATTTATTTTTAGTATTAATATTTTGAATATGACTATTCTATAAGTTTTTTTAAAAAAATTCTGTTGCATATAAAATAGCAAGAATTTTTGAGTAGATTGCTTAGTTCTGTACTTTTCATGACAAAATCAAAGTTGAAGGATTGAAAATGTCAATTTCACAATACTTAAAATATAAAATATCGGGAATTCTAAAGTCGAGGGAAAAAATGGCCCACTCACAAAAAAATGACCAATCTGTCACATGCGCTTCTTTTTTTTAACCAATTTGTCTCAGTTTTTTTTTTTTTAATATTACCAATTTGGTAAAACCCCTTATTTTTTTTACCAATCTTGTAATTTGGCCAAAGTACTAGACTACTGGGAAAGCAAAGTAGCAAACAGTGGAGGAAAAAGGGAGAAAATAAAAAATATGCTGAAACTCAATGAATTTACTTGAGTGATATATGTTGAAATTCTTGGTAATTATTTGGTGAGTCCCGTTCGTGTCATGAGCTTCTGATCAGAATCGCCGTGCAGAATTCGCCGTTTGAGGGGGTTCCCGGTGGAATTCTTTTATGAAACTTTGTGAGAATGTTCTTCATGAAGTGTAGATTTTGCCCACAAAATTTCAATTGGAATTTCAATTGGGAAGTCGGTTAAATAAATTATTGAAAAACACTGTGCAGTTTCAGCATTGGGAGGTGTCGTTTGTCGTCTCTCTCTCTCAACTACGCTCACCGTTCTCCTTGCCCAAGATCGTTTGAATCAGAACTTTTGCATAGTGTTTTTTAATAATTTATTTAACATCCTCACAAAGTTTCATAAAAGATTTTCCATAGGGAACCACCTCAAACGGCGAATTCCGCATGGCGTTTCCTGTCAGATATGAACTACCCTAATTATTTGGTTTATTGCAATTAGAGATGCCGCTGTTTTAGGGTTGTGGCAAAACTGGTCCGGCTTATATAGCATCTACATTTTAGAATTCACATGAGATTTGGTTCCATCTAATTCATTAAACCAAGATATGTTAATGTAAGACTTAATTTCCTAACCCGTGTCATTCTATCCATGCCTCTGCTTATTTTAAAGTTTCTTTTCTTCAAATCCATCCCAATTAAACTTGGTTTTTGTCCGTTTCAATCTCTGTGTGTTAGCATATCGTAGACTCGTAGTGGACAGAACTAGATGACTTGAGTTCTCTCTGTGTGGATTCTAAATGGTGTATGTTATCTAGGAGTTGCATTTAAAGATCAGTTGTTTCACCACATTAAAACAATCGAAGATTGCCCTAAATAGAAGTAAATAGGTTCTGGAATTTCAAAACAGGACTACTAGGTTTTTCTTCCCGAAATAGGTGTCGTTACTACCATGCTTGAAAAATATGGCCATTAATGGCGGTAAATACTACCGTGTTAATTCCTAGTATTGTAATTATTTCGGCAGTAATGACTCCAAGATGGCACTAAATACAATCATATTACTCCTATTTCAGGAAGAAAAATATAACAATTCTATTTTGGGATTTTAAAATTTGTTCACTCTTGTTTCGGGAACTTTCCCTAAAACAACGAGTTTCTTTATGCAATATGCCAAATTGTTTCTCAAGGCATGTAAGAAAACATGTTGATTCTTTCTTTGCATTTTCGAAGTAAATTCAAACATAAAAAATAACTGCCCATAACAGGCAGAGAAGGAAGCACGGAAAAAGCAGAAACAGCTAGCTTTCCAAGCAGCCAACCAAAAGTCAAAAAGAGTAAAGAACTCAAAGAGATGGAACTGATTTCGTTTTCATTACGTTGTAGTTCATGTAGTTCCACCTCCTGTTTTTAGTATTTGTCAATTTGTTGAAGTCCTATCAGCAAACATTGTTTTCGTCTACCTGTATATAATCCTATATGATCAAATGAGAGAGGTGCTTATTGTAAAAAATGAGAATGAAAACAATGCATTGAATTTGAGATCTAATTCTAAAAGTAACAGTGCTAAAAAGGGATGAAAGATAAAACAATGACAAATTTGTACCACCTCTGCGGCTCTGCCCCTTAATGAATGTCTTATTTTAGCTTGACATGATTACTAATAAAGTGGTGAAAAATAAAAGTTGTGGTTGAGATTTGAGTAGAACAAAGTGAAATGGTATGAAATGGTATGGATTGTATATTTCTTATTAAAAACAAGCCATTTATTTTGGGACAACTTGAAAAAGAAAGTAAGACAACTAAAATTAGATGAAGGGAGTAGTTAAATTATACTTCTTTTGCCATATAGTCAGTTAAAAACAAAAACCCTTGCTTTTCACGCCAATCACTCTTCTCACCGAAATTGAACTATATATATTGTTGTAACTAATGAACAAAAGACACACACATACATTTAGACACGCACACAAGCACAAAGAGATATATATTGTTCACTTTTTGGCAAAAATGAAGTTAGATGAAGTTCTCAATTTCTCATCATTGGCCGGATATAAAGGCTAATATGGATGTTTTTATTTGGACTGTTTTCAGTTCCATATAAGATTTAAACAGACTAGACTTAAATAGAACAAACTAGATTAAACTTAAACAGACCAGATTAAACTTCCATTGTTATGAAATGTACAAAGATCAAACATTTACCAGATTATATCTTGGTTTCAATATAAAGTTTGGTTCCCATTGAAGTTGCAAATGATTGCACTTTTCATCCTCGAATGGTGTATTGTTGCATTCAGATGATTTAACATTGCAGTTTTGATTATATCCGATATAGTGCAGTATTTCAAGGATACACAATGGAAAAAATTTACATTTGTTTAGAATAATGCCACCACATATTTATCAAATTCAATGCATTGCTGGTGTATTTAGCATCATTACCTTACAAATTTGATGCACAAGATTTATTCTTATTTATCATAAAATAACGCCATATAATACTGTAGAGTTAGGGTATGCTTACAATCAAAAGTGGTCTTTCCATACAAAGTGCGAACGTCTTTATTTAAATGAGGTGCATTTAAATTTCCGTCATTCACATTTGATCATTTACAAAATTTTACTTTTTGCAAAGAAAAAAATTGATTTATTTACAAAAATTCTATCGCGTTTTTTAATCCACTTAATGCATTATATATATATATATTTAGAGGAATTAGAGCCAATAAATCTTTTGTTTGCTGCACAAAATTCATTCTTACTTTTCATGGGAAGAGGACTATTTACTTGATCCAAAATGTGTAATTTTGGATTGCTACAATTGACACATTATTTAAGGAGGATAATGTAGAAAAAGTAGGAGAAAAAGTGTAAAAGTACGAAAGAGAAGATAGAATAATTAAAATAATAAGACTAATTGAGTATTTTTAAATGGAAAATTTATGAAAAGGGGAAAGTGTATCAAACTTCTAAATACATTTCGAAAAGAAAAGTGTAACCAACTTTAAAGTACAAAAAGAGTACTCCGTGGTGCATGATGTTTGCCGACGATATTGTATGGATTGATGAGACGCAATCGGGTCTTAAAGCAAAGTTGGAAGTATGGAGACAAACATTGTAGAACAAGGGTTTCAGACTAAGTCGGAGCAAGACAGAGTACATGAATCGCAAGTTTGCTGGATGTAGAAGCAGTGGTAATAGTGGAATTACTCTTGATGGTAAGGAGATATTGGTCAGTGATATGTTTCATTACTTGGGTTCCATAATTCAGAAGGACGGTGAGTTAGATGGAGATGTATCCCATAGAATCAGAACAGGGTGGATGAAATGGAAGAGTGCGTTAGGATTTCTATGTGTTAGAGGTATGCCGACTAGATTGAAGGGTAAATTTTATAGGACAACAATTAGGCCTGCATTGCTGTATGGTGTAGAGTGTTGGGCGGTGAAAAATTGTCACATTCAAAAGATGAGTGTGGCAGAGATGTGCATGCTGTGTTGGATGTGTGGGCATACTGTTGGTCCCTGTTTCTATTCTAGAGAAATATAAAATGTAGCTTGGTGAATGAAACCTTCCATTGATAGAGAATGAGTTTTACAGAATGATGTATCAAGGGTAGCGTAAACTCTCTCTAGCTCTAGGCTATTGCGCAGGGGAATTTCAGGGAAGGCTTAACTTACTCATTCCCTTGAGGCATATTTATAGCCTTTTGGGAATGTCACATTCAGGGCGGTGAAACAATGTCACATTCAAAAGATGAGTGTGGCAGAGATGTGCATGCTGTGTTGGATGTGTAGGCATACTGTTGGTCCCTGTTTCTATTCTAGAGAAATATAAAATGTAGCTTGGTGAATGAAACCTTCCATTGATAGAGAATGAGTTTTACAGAATGATGTATCAAGGGTAGCGTAAACTCTCTCTAGCTCTAGGCTATTGCGCAGGGGAATTTCAGGGAAAGCTTAACTTACTCATTCCTTTAAGGCATATTTATAGCCTTTTGGGAATGGTAGGTTTACAATGATTGGGCTCCTTTTCCATGAAAGCCCATTCCCTTTTTAGGCATGTAGGCCTTTACTACATTTGATCTATTTAATACATTATTAAATACTACTCCCTCTGTCCCCCTAACTTTGTCCCGTTTTACCTTTTTCGTCTGTCCCGTTTTACAATTCATTCTTACTTTATTCACACTTTATCAATTCAATACCAACCACACAATTCCACTTTTTCTTAAAAGTTGTGTCACACCCCTTTGTCTCAAACATAGTGGGACGGAGGTAGTACTAAAGAGGCTAATTAAATTACATCGATCACAATTCATGAAAATATCTCTAACAATCTCCCCCTTTGTGATAATATGTTCTTTGTCGGCTCTTGCGGATCCTTCTACCTCTTGTAGTAGTTGCTTCGCAGTGCTAGAGCGTGTTCATATTGACGCAACATTCTTCTCTTTCCGAGTCACTCATTGTTTGCATCTAGCATCGCCTTTAGTCGATGATTTTTTTTTTTCAGTTCAGCTTCTTTTGTCTTCTTGGAAAGTCTTTATGAAGAAATCCTTACAATCTTCCCCTTGGAGTTATTTATTCAATTTGTTCTTTGATGTCGGGAGTTGAGGGATTCTTCAAAATCTTGCTTTTAATCCCTTCTTTCCAGAAACTGCTCTTGATCAGCTTGAATGAAGTCATATGGCGCCTCTAGAATAAATGTTCTGAAGAGATCTAGGCGCACAAGGAATTCATCTTCAATATTTGATCATCCGACCTCTGTATCCTCCAGAATGTAGCCTTTTATGACTATTCGATCGTGAATGCTTTTGAGGAACAATTGTCGGTAGCACAACGGAAAATGATGGTTGACTTGTGAGCAAAGTTTACCATTAGATCTGAAGCTGATTTGGCAGTTGATGAATCTGAAGGAGTAGAGAGCCATCGTTTTTGAGCTGGAGGAGACAAGTGTCCGAGAATGATTTTTGAGAGTAAACAAAAATGTGGACCACTCTCCCCCTCAGGACAATCCAATGAATCGGGATGTCATGCCTTTATTCTTTTATTTTGAAAAAATGAAAAATGAAAAAAATGAAAGGATAAGGATCGGAGACACTGTGGTGTTCCGTTAACACAACATCAATGTAAACACTGATGTGTGGCCTGTATATAACGATAGATACGTTGTAGCTCTAACAGGACTTCCAACCAATCATTGTGAAACATCTGAAGTAGATGTCACTCTGGTTGTTATGGCATGATCACTAGGATCAGCATGGATAATTGTAGGGCCCCTGGGGTCGTGTAGACACCCGTTATCATCATTATAGAGACGAACTCCAAATGATGGCCTGAAAATGTTGGTGATTTCTATGTTGCAACATCAGGACTTCCTTCCAATCATCGGTCCACATCTATATTAAATGAGCCCTATGGAAATTCTTGCATGGTCACTTGGACCTGCAACTGACTCTAAAAATGTGTCTGTGTCCTAGAAAATTCAAAACATTTGAGAGTGAGATAACTAGACACGACGTGATCAATGAAAGTTCAGTGGCATGAGGCTGAGGGCCACTGTAGTCAGTATCAGTCGCCTCAGAAGGAGACAATGATAAGAGATGAGGTTCCCCGTGAACAGTGATTAAACACTTGTCTGATGGGAGACAGGTGAGTGGTCTAGGGTAAGGTTGTGCACGCTCCGTTTGGACAAAATGCAGCGACTTCTACTCAGGATCTGAATAAATTCAGTCCTGAACCTATGGGGATTGTCCGGAGTATTTGAGTGACTGAGGTTGATTTATCGATTGATAGCTCAGTTGAGGTAGCGGATTAGTCATTGATTATTGTCTTCTTGCTCATTGGAGCTTTCTGTTTCCTCACTCTATAATGTTCACTCACTCACTCTCGGCCTTGTCCCTTGGGTAGGCTTAGTTGGGTTTACTAAGCCATTGAGACTTATCTCTCATTGATCTTTGTTTATTTTCTCTCTGTGCTCCCCCTCAACTGGAGCACTCGGTATGCTTTGTAATTTTGTTCCACTGGGAGGAGAAAACAGAACCCCCCCTCAAAATGTGCATCCTTGAGAGAAACCTTACATTTATCTGTATTTTGTATTGCTCAACCTCCTGTCTAATATCATCCCATCTTGTCCATTCTCCGTTCTATCTCTCATTGAGAATAATCTCTTCTAATTGATCATGGATAAACGGGGCTCGATGTTCAGCTTGATGTTTAGAGGGAGCCTGTTGCTTCGGTGACCTGTGTGAGGTAGAACCGGGATCACTTGGATTGCCCGTTGACATCAGATCAGAACTAGGTACTTTCTGATGGCCTGAATAGAATGGTGTACTCAAAGTAGCAACCTCAGGACTTCCACTCCATCCTTGGACAACATCTGTAGAAGATGCGCCTAGGAGTGTTGTGTCTAGCTCGACCGGGCTAGAAGTGGGTAAATTGGTTGTTTGGCTTTTGCGTTGAGTGGATGGTGGGGGTTGGTTGTTCGAGGATTCAGGTGGGTTAGTTTGCGTGGAAGGGTGGGTTGTTGTCGCATCACGCTCAAGTGTCCGTTGCCTCTTGTTCTCCCCCTCAGGAGGATCCGAATCATCGGGGTCTTCATGCGAACTTTTGTGACCACAGAGACTACCACGGCATGTGCTGTCAGGCTTAAGGATCCGAAGAAGGGCTTTTTGTTTCTGGGT